AAGGCTTTTCAGAAGAGCTGAGGAGAGGGTAGCACCTTATTATGCAGTAATATAGTAATTATTATATACTATTGAGCATAATATTATGCTTATTACGGTGGCATCATGATAAGCAAACCCCAGGGTCTGTGCAGCCTCAAGCATTCAGTAAAGAAGAAAGCCAGAGCTTTTTTCTCCTGCTTTGAACATCTCTGTAGATGACTGTGGGATGTTTCTTGGCTCTTTGCTCAGGAGATCTCATGTTTTAAAAAGCTCATGTAGGCTCCTGGGCTTTTACATTCACCTGAGTCTTCACAGAGGTGCAGATCAAACCTCTGCAAAATCAGAGCATCTCCCATGCCTTGGAGGGGAAGGGGGGCTTCTCTTCTGTTGTCAGCACTTTGTGTTTTAATCTTTAGCCAGAACAGGAACCAAAGGGAAATGGAATAACCCATGCACATCAGGTTTTGTGTTGGGATCTCATGCAGAAGCCTGCGGGACCCCATCCCCATGAAGTGCAGGGTCTGGGTTTTGCAGGCTCAGGCAATTGGGATGCCCTTGCACAGACATACATGAACGTGGGAGTGTTTGTGTGAACTCAAACCCTCCTCCGGAGCCTTTTGAGGCCTGTCTGTCAGCACTGCTGACATCAACTGTGTATCCCCACATCAAAGCCCCGTCGAGGCTGCTGACTTCCTACTAAGGAAAACAAGGGAAAACAGCTTTTCGCTGCGTGTTGTTTATTTTAACATGGGTTTAGTATTTGATTGATTTCTTTTTTTCTTCTCTAGAAGCAGCCTGAGGGGGGTGGTTTGTTCTATCAGGAAATGAGGATGAATTTACTGAAGCAAGCTTGGGCAGTGCAGGCAGGCGCGCTCTCAGGGCTGTTGTACTTTGCCTGTGCGTCCCCCAGTGCCCCAGAGCAAGGTCTGAGGCTGCTGATGGAGCTGGGAAATGTTCTGCTCAACCATGCAGGGATGGGGGGACCTGTAAAGGGGCTGTTGCTGCTAGAAACAGAGCACTTTTTAGATAGAATGAAGCAAAGCCTCCCCACATTGAAATGTCCCAAGTCAAACTCCACATTAGAATTGTGGTCTTTACCCTGCCTTTTTGTCTGATCGAGTAGAAGTTGCCCCTGCCCCTGGCAAAGGGTTGCAACTGGGTGAGCTTTAAGGTCCTTTCCAACCCAAACCGTTCCATGATTCAATGATTCCATGAAATAAGGCAGACCTGCCAGCTCTGTATGTTTGAATCTTCTAGTGAATGGCCCACAGAGTACCTAGAGACATCCATGCCTTTAAGGCTCTTGTTTGCTTATGGATGGTTTACAAATCACTTCTGATTCCTGTAGACACAACAATCAGCTTTGTAACAACCAACATAATGAGCTTCAATGATGCCCAAAACGTGGTCACATTATAGATTATAAACTGAAAACTGAAACAGGAGGATATTACAGCAGTGCCCTTACTGAATACCAGGAGGAAACCCACAAACACAAGCTGTATCCACTTTGATGTCCTGGGGGCTCAGGTATGCACCTTCTCAGGGTCTCTGTGTAGTGCTGCTCCATTGTCACTGACTGCTCCTAAAGACATCACACACAGCTTAAAACTGTGTCCTCCACTGCTTCCCACTTGGCTGCTGGGGTTCACTGCTGCGGGTATACACAAAGCCTCACATTGGGCATAGAAAGTGAAACAGCCTTTCAGGCGCGTTCAGTTTGGTGCGAAGGAGTGAATCACAGCACAGAGAATATCCAGGGCAATTTCAGCTGCAAAAGCACGAACGTGAGCACAGCCTGAAAGGGACGTTGCTGCACGTTGCAGGGATACAAAGAGGTATTTCCCTTGTGCTTTGTGTTTGCTGGGTTGCTTACACAGAGCAAAATGAGTGTGAAGGCAGCAGCCGCTGTTAGGGATCGGAGCGAAGCTGAAAATGCCTCAGCTTGGGGGATCTGGGACTAAAAGGAAGTGTGGTGGCATCAGGAGTCCAAAGCAGCACATACAACAGTGAAGCTTCGTTGTCCCTCTGAAGACCCCACTTCTCCACATGTAATAGAGACCCTTTACAAGGGCTTCATTCACAGGGGACATTGCTTCTGGGATGCTGCAATTCTCCTGACTTGCATGTTTGTTCTTTTCTGACAAAGGCATAGGAAAACGGCTCTTCAGTCATTAGTGATAAAGTTTTAGCTGGGCTTTTCTGTGTGTACATCCATAAGACCCTGACACTGGCATCAGTTATTACATCTGCAGGAGCATCAGCTTTTGGAATCAAACGGTGCCCAAAATCCAAAAGATGCCAACTTTATCCTAATTTACTTTCCTTTCCCATGAACTACAGTGATAAGGACATTAGAAGAAGAGCCTGATTTCTTCCAGGTTTGGATAGAGGCTTTCCCAAAAGTCTCAAGAGAAAGATGGGAAAAGAAAGAGGAAAAAAGTCAGGACAGGCTTGGGGATGTGAGAGTTAAAAGGAACCTGCAGCTTGGACTGCTCTCGAGGGAGACAGGAAAGCCGTAGAGATTTGGCAATAAGCGCAGATCCCAAAAATTAGATCATAGCACATAATTATCCCCCGAACTGTTCCCGGTGCCAAAATCTTAATATCTGGGATTGTTACAATTTGAAGTCATGTAGGAAATGCACCGTTTCAAGCGGTTGCCTTCCCATGCCCAGCCGCTCCGTGTCATTGCCCGTTCCACAATAAAACGTACCTGGCATTGTGTGCGGAATGAGTAACGATTCCTGTGCCGAAAGGGAAGAGGGAGAAACACCGAGAACTCTCTCAGCGCTGCAGCCAGCGGGAGCCGGCGGTGCTGGCAGGGGCTCAGCACCATGAGTCAGCCCCTTGGCTCCGTCCCTGCTACTGCCACCCTAAGCCTGCCCAAAAACGTGTCCCTGGGGCTTGTTCCAGCAACACCCGCTTGGGTTTAGTCAAAGCAAAGTGCTCACAAGAGACACGGTGCCCGATCCAGTGGAAGGTCCCATGTGGGGGCTGTGAGATCAAGTCATGGTTTGGCAACCACCTCTGAAGACCTTGGAGAAATCACTGTTCTCCACTCTGTTTCAATAGCTACACAAATGCCTGCTCATTTCAGGTCATGATTTCCATGGAGGGGGTTATATGAGTGCAAACACAGAGGTTTGAGCTTGCCCAAGGAGCTAACACTGGCTGTCCTTCCTGATAGGGTTGGTGGGAGATGCCCAAGCAGTTTGGGGATTTGCTGCAACAAGATGTCTGCACAGAGGTTTCTTTCCCCGCTCCATGTCCAGGCTTTTCCTCTTGCTCACCACAATACACAGAGCTAGCACAGCTTTCCACCCTCAAGGTCTTGGAACTGCAGCATCCCATGGGATCAAGCTCCCATGTTTTGCACGATAGGTTCAGATAAATGCAGCACAAACCCTTTTAATTCAATCCCACGCTCCTGCTCTGAGTTTGGCACTTGGGCATTGCTAACATATGATCACCATCACATCCTACATGCTGTCCTGCTGTGCTGGTCTATGGCTGTGCCTAGCTGGATTCCTTCCCTGCCCTCTCCCACTCTCCCTGGAGAGATGGAATGCTGTATGTCCAAACCTGCTATAAATGTTATAAGCCTGTCTTGCACCTTTCCTTCAGGAGGGCACCCAGCTCTTCCACAGCCCCAGCCCTTTGCAGGGCCGAATTAAATGCCTGTATTCCTAAAACAGATCATTGCACAAAACCCCTCAAAATCCCAGGAATCCAACCAGCAGAGGGCATGAGCAGTCACTGCCATGCCCCACAATACCCAAGGCTAGAAAAAAGCTTTCTGGGAGCAAAACCCCCTATGTCCAGGATGGGATCCATCCCCACCATGGTGGCACTGGCAGGAAGCAGTGGCTTATTCAAGTGCTAAGTGCCGTGATTTCCTCCAGGCATTTGCACAGCCTGGTAGGAAACCACCACAAGCTGAACAACTACAGAGTGATAGCACAAAAGCAAGTGTAATATGGCACTGGGGTGGGGATTAAAGATGTTGTGCCAGCGGTGATGCTGATGCTGATGGAGCTACCAGAGTTTACCTGCTACCAGGGGCTGTACTAAGGACAAGCCAGGAAAGCCTTGGTTGGCTCCGGTGAGGAAAGTGCAGCAGAGTGATGGCAGCTGAGGCTGTGGTGGGTGATTAAGGGCAGGACATGCCTTGGGATTTAGGAATTCTTTCTTTTCACTTCCTGTTTACAGGTTGACTGCGTTTCCCCAGCGTTTAAACTCCTTCGTCATTCCATGTCTGCACTGCTCCAGCACTCAGTGAGGATTAATAAGCTTCCTCTGAGCAAATAGCTTTATTGAAACAAGCTGCTGCCTTGCCCTGCAGGCAGAAACCCTCCGATAATGCCATTTTGCAGGAGGCAGGCTGCAGGCCAAGCCCCTTCCCGGCAGCACTGCTGAAGGCCAGGATGCTCTCCCACTGCACTGGTGCAAACACAAGGATTTGGAGGGTTGATCTCTTTTTCCACAAGTGAGGAAGAGCAGGAGGCTGAGCATGACTGAGAACCTGGCTCCAGTTCCTGGTGCTGCACACCCCACCTCAGACTTGCCAAATTACTCCCAAACCTGCCCATTTTGCCCCTTCCAACCCCTAAACTGTTGTTGTGAGCAGTGGAGCGAGGAGGTGGCAGCTGTGTTTTCTGCTTTTCCTGCATGGAATTACCCTGCAGTGATCTCCAAACAAGATGTTTTCCGATCAGACCTGAGATGTTTATTTTGCTGGTCAAAGAACCCAATCTGCTCACTGCGGTATGCATGGCATCTCACATGCTGCTTCCCCTCCTCACTGTCAAGTGACTGCATATTCCACCAGATACTGCCACAAAAGCTGGAAGTCAGATGCTTTGCAGGCTAATTAATCAGTTTGCTATATTAGCAACCTTAAAGGAATTCTGATGCAGACCCAGTGCTTGAGCCTGCTGCCACATCTGCAGCCAATCATGCTTACATTACTCCATTAACAAACTACATATGTGCTAAGCAAGATGCGTTGTGGTTCCAGTGTGCAGAGAGCTTCTTGCTGTTTGGTGAAGGACCACAGCCACTTCATAAATACAGCACAAAAGGGTGAAGGCTTCTTCAGTGGAGAAGGGTTATTCTGTGCTTGTTGCACTTGTTGCTTGGACTCAGTAGTTTAAAGAAGGCCAGACTGGTTCAGGAGATAGGAGGCATTTAGCAGTGCTGCGATGGGGCGATAACAGAGGTTTGAATAGATATAGCCTTTATAAAAAGCTTTTATTATAAGGTCTACAGGTCCCTGACTGGAGGACTCATGTGCTGTGCTGCTCTCTCCTTAAGGTAAGCAACTTGCAGGCAGTTACAGGAGTTGAGGGCAGTTTGGGAGCAAGGAGAGGCTGGCTCTGCCCTGCTTGGTGTGGTTGGAGCATTGTCCCATTCCAGCACTGCCAGGAGCTGTTTCTCCCGCGCAGGGATTTGTGCTGAGCATGCGTGGCAGAGCCCCTTTATGGGGTGCATTCTGCTAAAGCCCAGCACTGATGCAGTGCTTGGGGTCTGGGTGATGTGCAGCCACTGTGCTGCTTGTGTTGCTTTAAAGCTTATCCTGCAGGTACAGTCCCTGCAGCCCACCAGCGGCTCTTCCCAGGGTCCCAGGATGGGATGTGGCCCTGCTATGGCAACCAACAGCACCTTGCAGATGTACAGAGCCCCACAGTAAGGAGGTAACTTCATAGCTGCTCTTATGAAGGCCTGGATTTGAATGCTTTCCTCTCACAAAGCCTCCCTGTTATGCACCGCACAAATGAACATGCACTTTATTTCCCTTCATTCGTTTCCAAGAACTGGTCCTGTTAAATGGAGAGCTGAGTGGTGCTTCACCTTGTTTTTACTGGGCGGTTTCAAACCCCGGAGTGGCTCAAGCCTGGTTTGTGTTTGCCTTTCCTCACTACATACAGCACTGTCAGGGCAGCAGATGCTTTGCAAACAGCTTTAAAGACAGATCCGGTGCCCCAGAGGAGTTTGAAAGCTGAAGAGGACAGTCAGGGCTCACAGTACATCGTGTTCTGTTGTATCAGGCATGAGTCTTGCACTTTTATATCTTTCTGCTGTCTTTATACCTATTGTTTCCCCCATACAACTTCTTTATACCTTTTACTGCTGAATGGGAAAGTGATGTGGCAGATGAGCAGCTCAGGGCCAGCTTGTTCCCACTCACCCTTTAGGAAGCATCCATCACTGCCCTCCAGCTGTATCCTTGGGGGGGGTGTTTCCTTGCTTATTGCCCCTCACCTTCACCTCTGCTGGAAATGGGGCTCTTGGCTGGTTTGGGGGGAGCTCCTCTTATGAAAAAGTCAGACAGCCCCTTTAAAGAGCAGAGCCCCTTTAAAGCACATAAAAACCAAGTACCTCCAACTGTGAGCTGCTGGTTTTGTCCCCCCATGATTATTTGCTGCCTGATGACCTCACAGCAGAGGCACTGATGAGTTTAATGTCTTATTACATGGCACTTTACATCAGTGAGGCCGGCAGCTTAACGAATACCACTGGTTAACGCAGGCTCATCACAGCCTCATCAGTGTATTGTGCTTTGCTGTGGCAGCTCGAGGCAACTAATTGATCCACTGGATTTATCCCATTGATTTGTGTGTGTCTGATAGAGTTGAGTCAGGTTCCAGACTGGGAATCGCACTGAATAGAGATGTGTATCCTTGGGAAAAAGAGTTAGTCCGGAGGTGGCATCCTCATTCCTGTAAAAGATCTCTATTTGCTGTGGATGGTTAGTGAGCTTCCTTCAGTGACAGCAAAGATGTGTGAATGAATGGCTTTTTTATTTGCTGTGGGTGCTTTCAGGCTCAGTTAGATAAGCATCTGTGCTTTTAGTTATGTTCCTCATACATATGATAAAACTTCAAGCCAGGCTTAGTGGGGCTGCTCCTTCCAGGACATGGGTGCTCTTTTTGAGCATCTTTTGATGTCCAATCATGTTACTTGGACATCTTGAGCTCATTGCCATGGCTCAGGATACTGCTGGGCTTCTCCTCTAGTGCCCTGCTGGCAGCCTGGCTGCAGCCCTTAGTGATGCCCTTAGCTCAGGGTGAGTGGAGTTTATTCTAATTCAGCATCCAAAAGGTTTAATTCCCAGCAATGTGCCATTAACAAGCCATGGGGAGTCTCTAGGAGAAACAGAGACAAAAGCAAAGAATGGGAAACAATGAAAAGAAAGGGCACTAAACTGGAGTGAAGCTTGGCTTGGGTTCCTGCTGACTCCGAGGAGCTTTGTGCAAGGAGCTCCCGCTAAGCACCAGCGTGCAGATGCGAATACATAGTTCCTTTTTCTGCTGAAAGCGATGTGAAAATCCTGATTCCTGACTCTGCCAAGGACAGGATGGCAATCCTCTTATGGGGATTAAACTTTCAGAAGGACAGAAAAGTTCTCTTCTAAGAAAAGCTGTGTACTTCGCTGTAACGCAGGTAATTAGGCACAAAACATCGGGCAGCCAATTCTGCTGTCAGCGCCACGAGCAGATAGAGGTGAATTTGCTATGATTTGGATTCAACCTTTCATATGTAGCTCCAGATTAAGTTGTATTTTCCTGATAGGATTATCAGTTTAGCCCTTTATTCTCCTTCTGTACAGTCTTTCCAAAACTGCTCAGCATCTGATCCTATGCATTACTTCTTCGGTCAGCCCAAGGCATACTTTTGACTAGAGGCCAGTGACTTGCCATTGACATGGAGGAAATTTGGACTATACCTTGATTGCAGAATCCTTTTTCATTTGTCTGCTTTATTGCATTATAGAGATTTGATCCTCCTCTGGAGTCTATTGGCTGATTTCCAAGGGATACAGTTGGATTCCCCACTTCTTTGTTTCTCTTTCCAAGATGGAATGGACTTTTATGGAGTACAAAATCAAAACACAAGCTATCGCTTTCATTTGCTACACAACTCTTCCTGTGCGTTGGTGGAAGCGCTCTCCGAGGGTTTCATAGCCTGTTGTATGATGTGTGGGATGGCAAAATGATGGTAAAGGGCTTGTGGAGATGGAGTGCTGTGAGGAGGTGACACCCCTGCTCCAAATGCCTGTGCTTACCTCCATCCTCTGCGGTCTGACCTCTGAACCAGGCACTTGGGAGCAGAAATCCCAAGTTTTAGAAGAATCCAAAGTTTTAGAGGCACAAGTCGCATCTGGAAAATCAGGAAGCTGCTTTTGAAGGAATAGTGTCTGAGATGAGGCAGAGTCCCTTGCCAAGGGATGTGTTCTTAGTTCATAAATAACTCCAGGAGAATACACCTTATTATATACCTGGCCTGCTGATACGAAGCTTTTCCTGCAGCAAAGCCAAGGCCAGATGCAAGCCAAGCAGAGTTGTGTAACATACACTTAGAGGGAAGAGGAAGTGCCAAGCAGAAAACTCATCTGAGAAAACCAAAGTCTATCAAGCACTTAATGGGCAAGTCAATACAACACTGGAAGTCAAAGCTTCCTTGTAATCTCTGCTGCAATTCCCTGAACACCCATCCCCTTCACTGATCATTCACCAGTTGCTGAAGATACACAAATGATGACAGCAGATCCCCCCTGGTGTCTTTGATCCCTGCTCTGTGTTTAGCTTAGCGAGTTTATGTCTCAGCTCAGTGGTATTCAAGTGGCATCGCTCACGCTGGTGGTTCACAGCACAGAGAAGCTGTGGGCAGGCAGCCTGGCCCAAGGATGCTAACAAAATAATAAGCAACTGTGCTGAAAGCATTTCCTGCTCCAGCTCTGTGCTCCCAAAGCAGTGGAGTTACTGCCTGGGAGTAATTTGGAGGAATTCTACCAGCAAGTGCAAAATCAATGCAAACGTGCAGCTCCTCCAGGCTTAATTGCAGGGGAGCATCTGTTTGCATTGCAGTATCCAAAAGGCATCCTCAGTCTCTTGGGAAGTTTGCAGTCTGTAAGGATAGTGTGTTACTGAGTGAAGCTTTCAAAAGGATGCGCTGCCATTCACCCCTTCCGTGCAGTTGCATCTATTCAACTGCTAGCCAGAACCACCCTATTAAAACCACAACTGTGGGTACCAGTCTGTCTAAGAGCCTTCATTGAAGGCTTCTCTCACAGCCTTGAAAGCAATCATTTTGATGGCTCAGTTTAGCAATTGCGGCTGAGCGACACATTTTCAGCTTTGCAAAATATGCCAGTTTCCTTAATCATAAGTCTCTCATATACATATATATACGCATGTATTTGCCAGCTTTCATGTGCTAAATGGTTTCTAAACTCCTGCCTGTCAAGAAGCCGGCTGATGTGGGAGCAGGATTCCTGTCTGATGGCTGCGTGATGTGTGCCAACAGCTCCCTCTGGGTTCTTTGTCCAAGATTTACTTCAGTTGCAGAAAACTCAAGGAGTGTCTTTGTTCCCAGAAGTATTTTTGGCAACCGACTGCACAGAGCGTTACCCATCCTCACAGCCCCTTGGCCTGGTCTCTAGACAGCAGCTCCTCAGGGCCAGCCCAACCTGGGGTGATGAGACAAGCTCTGTAATGGAAATGATTGTGCCTTTGTGTCTGGGAAGTCGGCAAATGTCATTCTTTGAAATACAGTCTATTGCAGAGCAGAGCATCTCTAGCAGGGATGGGCTGAGGCTTCCCAGGCACCATGGAGACATCCAGTTGCATAACCCTGACAGTCACTGGGAGATGATCCTGCTGGAAAGAGCCAAAAATTCCCCTTCTCCCGCTAAACACAAAGCGTCAATGACCTCAGCCCTTGGCCATCCCATCCACATCCAGCAGAAAACGTTAGAGGGAATAACAGCTCAGGAACCCCTCCCATCATTTATGGACTAAGGCAGCTAATATCACAGCTACTAAAATATGCCCGATTTCAAAACAATAGCTTTGCACATTGACTAAGTGGAGACCAGGAGCCAAAAGCAGATGGATTTATACTCAGGTGAGCAGTAGGCAGAGGAGGAGCTGGAATCCCTGAGCCTGGATTTGAAGGCAACAGATTTATGCTGAATTTCACCAGCTGAGAGCCTGGTGCTGTGTTTTGCAGCCAGCGGTGTTGATCTAACCAGATCTCAGATAAGAAGCAGGCTGGTTTGTTCCTTTGCTCATCGAAACTGGAAAAGAGCTGACCATTTAGGAAAAATTCTGTGGAATTTGGTCGAAATGAGCATGCCATGGAAATTTAATAGAGTCATATGCAGAAATTACTGTAAATACTTGTAGAATTTAATAAGTGCTTTTATGCTTCCTGTTGGGTTATTTTTAACACTTGTAGAATTCCGTAGTGGGATCTGATTATGTATTAAACTTTATTAGTTGTTTAAAAGAAAAGCTGTTGAGCGCTATCCT